TAAATAATGTTGTATCACTTCATGTTTTTATCAAATAAGATGATTCTATGCTGGAATTATATTCTACCATAGTGTCTAAACTCTATTCTAATATCAATAACCATTTGCTACATTATGAAATCCCATGCTCTATAGTAATCAGGTTAAAACACCACATAAAACTATAAAATCACCGGAGATAGTTCTGATGTAACATATTTTTACCAGTTGGTACAAATCGAATCTCTTCATCCAGACAACCACACTAAATATCTTGAATCAGCACTGTGTAATTCTTTTTTCATCTACATTCAGTTGTCAGATTTTCTGTTATGTGTCGTTTCACAGAATATGTTGCAGATGTAGACACCTTTTAGTTGGAGATTGATTCAAGAAAAAGAGTACAAAAATACCTTACTAATAGGTGATAATGAATGTGAGAACCACACGTTCACAACTTTTCATCCTTTATTTGTAAACACTTAATAGTGATTGAAGAAGAAAGTCTGTAAAGGTGGAGAAAAAACGTGGAAGTGATAATAAAGAAATTAGTCACTATTCTTAAATAACTGGTATGTGTGTAATTAATAATGTATGGTTAGTAACATACACTTGATTATCTTTAATCTATATACCCGAGGTATATATCAATACCATTTCGTCTATTTACCGCTGATCATATTCATCACGTCATTTGGAATAGATACCAGTTTACCAATAGTTATGGTAAGAATAACAAGCAAAACTTGACGACCAAAAGAAAAAGAAGTGACATGTTTTTGTCAAAAAACATTAACATACTACTGAAAATGGTGTACTTTTATTCTGACAGAATACTGACAAAAATTGATAAGGTGGAAAATGTCATAGTAATAGATTCTCATAGTTAATTACGCCTACTTAATTTGTATGTTTATCTCTCCCCTCATTCAAAAAAAGCCAGAAATATACCAACGATTTCAACAGACAAATGACAAGGAAACTATTCAACATTAAAATGCATATATTTGAAATGAAACGTAAACGACAAAAAGCTGTCAATTTTCAAGTATTGGTTTGTAGGGATTTTGTTTGATTGGTCGGAGGATTTCACCACGAGCTAACATCAGTTAGAGGAACACTGGAAAACCTGCAGGGAGTACTGAACAGCTAACTGTCTCCTTCTAGTTTGGGACTGTTCACCAGTACGCACCCACCACCAGGGTTCGAACTCAGGACCATCTGGTTACAAGACGAACCCGTAGACCGTTAAGCCAATGGGACCTGATCCAATGGCCAGACCATGAATCGCAACTTCTGCCAATTCATGGTATGGCGCGACCGCCAGCAAATGTCATCGGCGAGTATTTGTCATCACACCCGACCTGCTGTACCCTACTGGACACGGCTTACCACTAGAACCCTAGGTAATTGCCTGAATAGGACTGTCAAACAAATTGACGTACAACACAAATAGTAATAAGATATTGCCTTTTCTTTTCTGAAGTTGAACATATTGACACAAACGGTTTCGTAGTTGATGAATAATTTACTAATCAAGTGGAATCCAAATGGGGAGCGACGAGTAGGTCGTCCGAGGGTGACATGCAGGAGATAGTTTAAGGAGGAGATGAGAGATTATGGGCAATCGTGGACCTAGTTGAAGAGGACGGCAGAAAACAGAACGAAGCAGAAGGGTGTTATTGAAGCCCTATGTTCCACAGGGAACGTAATGGAATAATATACCTCAATGTTAATATGTCAACTGTTCCTAACAACCTAGCATCAAGTTGATTAGTACTAATAATCACTTTTCCAGCATTTTACCGAATCACTTTTGGTTAAGAGTAAAGGTAATACTAACTACTATTTAGTAATATAATCATCACATATGATATTTATTTAGAGTATAACTTATAACCCAGTGGAATTGCAGGAAATGTGAAGTGCAGTAGCTATGAATATTCCCCGGTACTGAATAATTAATATTTTTTTACACTATAACAATTTTCATTCACCTGAAATGAAAGTCTTAACATATTCCAGTTGCTCCGGCGAATATTCAATAACAAAAAAGAGATAGAGTTGCTTCTCTTTTCTTTTTATTCGCTGAAAAGTTCTCTGAAATTCATTCACACCACTTGTCTATTTTGATAACAGGAAATGAAATATTTATATTTATATAAATGTGAAGCTAACTTGAGGGCGTGAAAAATCTCAGTGTGTATTTTATTTTATCAGTAAGCAAAAGCTATTCGATAGACGAGTTTATAGACTTACTTATGATAGCATTAAAAATTCGTTTGATTTTAAATTATCCCAAATTTTTTTCATCTTTCAAAGTATCTTTCATCACTGATAAACCACAATAAAATCAACGTGAACAGAATAGCTATCTCTTACTTGTGTGAAACTTGAAGGAAGTTTGCCTGTGTCGTCAATGCAGCGAAATTAGACTAAAGACCGTTAGGCCTCTTTCAAAAATTCATGAGTAATAAATCTTAGAATCAGAATGCTCGGAAGAAAAATGCATAATACACTTGGCGTTTATTTCCAGTGGTTTAAAAGTTGATACCATTTCGCAACAGAAACTACCTTAAGAGAGGAATTAATTCCCTACAAAATTTTGTGAACTCTACTCAGTCAGTTAGAATTTTCCACCACCTATATATAATAATAATAGTTTGCTTTATTTCAAAACAGTACCTGTGATACAGAATGGAATTCTCAGCATTTTACTACAGTATTGCATCCAGTTACTACATTAACAATAAATAAAATTCTATATAGATTAAGGATAATCTCAGTTAGTTTTGACAACAACATATTGGCATGTCGGTAGCAAAGCCAAAACTTAAACGGAGTATTTGAAGGTGCTAGAAAAGTAGATGCTAGTATATTTGTTGGCGTAAGCGGCAACAAAAAGGTCGAGATATGCAAAGTGAAAAAGAACGAAGAAGAATGTTCTAAACAGAGTTTGTAGGGAAGAGAGAAACAAACCAGCACATAACAGAGAAAAAGGGAGAAAAAAGGAAGAAAAACGTTGTATTTATAAATGATATGAGTTGAAAAGACGAGATCCAGCTGTTCTACTGACTATTTAATAAGTTATAGGTATCACGCCTAATGCTTTCTTTATCGCACAGTTTTTGTACTTGCTAGTGCGAGCATATAGTATTCTATATTGGCTTCTGTTCTGCCTGATGAGATAGAAGGGTAGAGATGTGAATGAAGGGGGTGGTGTGGGTTAGATGAAATGGATTTAGCCCATTTTTCACATAAGTCCAAGTGCCTGTCGACCAGAATATTAACAAGCTGAATGAATGAACTACCCACTAATTATCAAGGTCTTCCTACAAAAATCATAAATCCACTCATAGAGCCAGTACTTGATATCTTGTAAATTAATATGGACTAAGTATTCTGTTTTTCGATATTTTAATTTTTAAGCTAGGAAAAAAGATTTAAACCGATTACGCCTACAATGTTTCGGGAGTAAAATCAATCACCTTATCCAAATATTTCCTAAGAAGCTCAATATATGCATATCAATAAACGCATAACTCACGACTAGACTTTTAACGATAAGTAGAAGAATTTCTAAAGGATCATCCTTAAACTCCTAATTTCACTGTCAACTTTCACTTTTTGATAATTTAAAATATCGTGCATTACATGATTATATTGCCTAGAAATCGTTTTCACATGACCTATATATGTAATTTAATTCCTGTAGAAACCTTTGAGGTCATCTATATCATCTACTTTATGGGAATACATTTGTTAGTAATTTTTATTAAAATGAAAAACTCAAATTTTCATTGGACAGAAAACGCGCTCATATTATTATTATTATTAATAGTAGAGTACATCCGCAAATTTTTTCTAATTATCCACAAAGTAAACAATAGTTCCTTCGTGTTTATAAAAGCTTGTATAAAAGTAAAACTGTATGTCATGCGTTAATCATCTGCAAATATTCATTTTTTTCCCGCTCACTTGACCTCTATTGTAAAAAAAATATCAACAATATTTTGTGCTGTTACCAGTATTTTTTATATTAGGCTGGCTGTTTTATGAGCTATTATTTCTTTTTACAAGACGTTTAAGTTTCTTGTTGTTAATTCTTTCTGGCCAGCTGGCCATTTGATCTTCAGTACGGAGCCAGCTATTGATAACAGTATGTAGACGACTGGAAATGCCTCTTCATGATGCGCCAAGTTTCTGACTTGAATAGAAGAACAGACTGACTTCAAAATTATTTTGAAAATCAGAATCTTCTTATGTTGAGTGCAGAAGATTTCCAAACCGATTTCAGATTAACGGAGGTGTGTCGTGCTTTTCCGATTCTTGCTGCTTTTGACATCTTCATCTGTGCCGTATGCCTGTGGTTCAAACGATGCTTCCTAGATAGGTGAAGAAAGTAACCTCTTTCAGATTATTCCTGTTGGTTGTTCTTACTGTTGATTGGTTATCTTCATCACCTCCGTCTTCCCTATGTATTCTGTTAATAAAATATATTACTTAAATGAATGCAAGTAGAAAGAAATTTTACGCAAAATGTTGTTTACCGAAAGTGATTGCAGAATGGAACATTTCTGTAGTTAAAAGTAGAATGGTAAACTGAAACACCGATGAATTTCGTTCGACTACCTGTGGAGGTATGTCTGTATATAAAATACCCTGAATGTTACAAGTGTTCAGAGACGGTGTACAAACTTCAACAGCTCGTAAGGTTTCGATATGATAGAGAAGATTTGTAGCTCAGGTGGATGATTTTGAAGTATGCGCTGAAGATGTCACCCGGTAGGGTGATGAATGCTTCGCAAATTAACCATCCAGCTCAGAGAACACAACCACATCAAAAACTTCAACAGCATATACGTTGTGAAGATAGAGTAAAAATTTGTAAGATAGGATGCTTTTTAGAATTACAAATATATATATATATATATATATATATATATATATAATTCTTATTTTTCAAACTTTAAATTGGTAGCATTAGCATAACCTTCTTTTTCTATTGTTTTCTGTTTTAGGTAACAATATAACTTCAAATGTAAATATACTTTATTAATAATTCTCACAAATCAAAATAGAAATGCGTTCAGTATTTACAAAAAAACCAAAAATGAAATTAAATTCGAAATCAAAAGTTGAGTTGAATGCAAAAGAAAATGAGTCAGTATTACCTTCCGAAGAGAAAACTTTGTTAGAGGAACAAAATGAAGAATTACGAGATAAATATTCATTTAAACGTAAAGATGAAAAAAAGAAACCACGCTCAGGTAGCATGACATCTTCATCTTCAGAAGTATATATACGCCGTGGATTAGGTGTATCAGTTACTTTTGAATCTACTCTACCCACACAAATATGGCAAGCGTCACCAAGTCCCTCACCACCGTTAAGTGAGAAGATGAAAAATGATACAAAAGGTGTGTACAAAAACTGTGCTTCTGGTTCTTCTAATCAAAAATGGAATTCAGAAGGATCAAATACAAGAATTCGGATGAGTAAACAAAGTTTTCATGGCAGCTTAAATAATATTGATGAATTGGATGATAGTAGTGATGAGACAAATCCATCTGGCTTAAGTTATCCATCCTTAAGTAGTTGTACAAGCAGTGATGAAACAACAACTAGTCAGGAAAGATTGAATCATCCCCTAGGTAGCAGTACATCTGATAGTAGCTCCAGTCTAGATTTACACGTAATACAGAATAACGGACCACATTCCAAACGGCGAAGTAGTGAAAGGCATCATAAAAATAAAAAAGATAAAGAAGATGAACGATATAAGAGTCGTAGAGCGGTCAATGAAAAACGCCGCCAATATACAACCCAAAGTTTGAGCAGTAGTAGCACAAGCAGTGAAGAAGATTTAGAAGCTTTCGGATGGGATGAGAAGACTATTTCTGCTCTCACAAACAGAAGTAAATGTAACAAACAATGTTCAATATTTCCCTCAAACGGGAAGTTTGATTTGCGTTCTAAGAATGTAAACGATTGTTTGGCGAGTCCGAAAAGGTTACCACAAGGTCAAAGAATGGATTTACGCTGGAAACCAGATGCAGGACTGGCGAAATTAAAACTCTCCTCCCCTGTTAGAATATGTAATCAATTTCATGTAGATACACCTGTTATTCATCCCCAAACCTGCATATTATCTCGAAGACTAAACCCTTTGATTCAATCTAGTTCGCCTAATGCAGCAAATATAAAATCACACCCCATAGTACCCAACAGTAGTTACGCACATAATTCTCTTAATAATAATGAACTGCTAGCAGTTGTTAATACTGATTTTCGTCCATCAGCAGAATGGAAAGAAAGGTACAAATTATTAAGTGTTCGTCAAGGAGAGTATGTTTGCGTTCTAAATCACAACCTACAAAGTTCAACAAACAACGGTGCTGTGGATGATAAAACCAAATATACGGGAATCCAACAGAAAGTAATGTTTCCTTTGACAGAAAATAACTTTTGGTTCTATGTACGTCGGTGGTGTGTTGACCACTTAGTGGCCACAGGAACACCAGGGTATATTCCTCGTCAAACCTGTAGGGTTTTGTCGAACTGCGAAATTAGTAGTCTGAGGTGTTCAAGTCAGAAGGCAAGAACGCCGTGGGATAGAGCCTCCAATGCCCACTTTGTATCAATGACTGATCCTCAAATTAGTGAGAGTTCCAGCTCAAAGAATGGAGTCATGCAAGCAAATAATGAATTTAGACCACCGCAACCAACAACAAATAAAGAGTTAACAAATAGAAACCCACATACCAACGCAACGTGTCCAAATCAAGTTGGTATGGTATTTAGCACACAAATAGACAGACGAAATCCTGTCTATTCATTGCAAAATTTCACACCAGACACATCAGCAAACTTCCTACCACCTCCGCCACCGGGTTTCGGTTCTGGTGCATCAATTGGTTCTGAAACAGAGGATAAAGACTCCGGAAGGGGCCCGAGTTCTGGCTCAGAATGGGGTAGTGGCCGTGGGGGTAGTTCAAATATTACATTAGACAGATCTGTAGTCGAACATACTTCAAGTGAAATAGGATTAGACTTCCAGGGATCACAGCAGAATAGGCGTTCGAGAAATGTTAAAAGTGCAGAAGAATCTCAACTCGGTTGGTATGCTCCAACAGGACTAGCATGGTCTGAGCGGGGTTTCCACGAAGGAGAAGAATCATTATCACGTGACTCAGCATTTCAAAGTCCTAACACAGACAACTTAACACCACCAGTACATATGAAAGATGTTAATCAAAATCTCCCCACACAGCAAACGTATCCACCATCCGCAATAACACTGACCACTATTACTGGAAACACTCCAGTTCTAGAGATGAGACACAATGGTACTCCAACATTATGTGCTCGAGGAGTCCCCTTGGCAATAAGTACAAACGGACCTGACAGTTTAGCTACAAGTACAACCACTTGTGCTACAGTAGTTGACATAAGAGAAATACAAGACGACAACTTAAATAATATGAAGACTGGTCCATCGACAAAATATCGAGTACCCACCCCAGATCCTTCATGTTGGGAACCTTATAAAACGGTGATTCATGTTAATGAAACTAGTCTTGAGAAATTTACCCTTGTGTAAATAAACAAAGCAAAACTTTTGCCTTACCAAACAAGAATTTTCAGAGTATAATTACCCCTCTCACGATTCCTAAGCAGTGAGGAATAACGAGTCTTATTTACCTTTTATCTTCTAATAGTTGATTGCAGCAACAGAATAACGACAACCAAACAAGTAAATCGGAAGCACTTTTATTGATTTCAAGTAAATCACTTTCATTATTACTTATCTATCTAATTTGTACTTGAAAACTTCTACTGATCTATAGATCATATGTAAATAAACTTCTCCTATCTTCTTTTTTCAATAATACAAATTTCCAGTTCGAGTGAATTATCAAGTGTAAAATTTGAAATTATATATAAAAGCTGCAAACCATTATTGTGTTGTTGTTCTTTGGGATATATGGTATAGTTTTTGGCGCGTTCCTTCCCAACCAAGCTTCTTTACGACGTTCTAAATTACCGTAAAGTGTAAACAAGGAAACGAACAACTTTCTATTAAAGTAAGCCGTAGGGTGATAAGCGCACAAATTGCCACAGAATTGTAACTAAAAGTAAGAAATCGCAATGCAGTGTAATAACTATGAAGTGGAAACAGACTGATTACCTGTTATAATCAACAATGCCAAAATGTTATCTTACCACGGATATGTGCCACAATCACAGTATACTACGTAATAATAATAATACACATCAAACTCTCTTGAATGCGGACATCACTTAATTTACTATTATTATTATTTAACTTATTATAAATTACCCAAAGACTTTCTCGAAAGAACAGGTAGTTTACGCCTAGAAATATACCAATATCTTAATTTGATATAATCCAAAACCATGTGCTTGGAGATTTCATTAAACAAACAGAAAGTCTGTCCACATGAAACCATTCGAATCAGTGTTTTGAAAGGAAGCTAAATGCAATTAGGCCACACTTTAACAGCATTCCATGGAGATCCTGATATGCAATCTGAACTATGTAGGTTGCCTCACTGATATCTCCCAGAAGCCAAGACATATATCGTCGGATAAACCCAGCGAAATCGCTCACAACTCAACATAATCCTAAGTGTTACATTGATTCCCCATGATTCTACTTATCCTATTCCGTTACTAGTTGTTGTAGTATTTCCGAACTTCCAATTTCTTGTGTTACTTTGATATGGTTAATTAGACTGACTCACTTTTATGAAGGGTTCCGTGTTATTCAGCTTATTACTCCTAAATACATTTATCAACTTACTTAATTATTGGTTGGATGCTTTCGGTTAAGTCATATTTTTCCTGATATTAAAGTCAAATACAATGCACCGAAAACTGCTACCTTGACGTGGTGGTCGGGCTTGAACACTGCAATGTCCTAACAAGCTATACTGGCTGAGACTTATGTCTCTTGAGGTCCTACCATGCCAGAAAGGTTGTTTGGATGGCGGTTAGACAAAAAGCAGCTATCCAATCCAATACTATGACACAGACAAAATATCATACCGGATCGGTTGGGGCCCAGATTAACAACGACCGCGCTTCCTGCTGCCGTGTCACAGGGCAGAAGTGATAAATATGCTACTGAGACACACCAAACAATAAAGAACGAACAAAAACAAACCGCGTGTGACCGGCCCCAAGCAGTTGTCCCCTGGGCTCTGCGGTCACGCAACCATCTTCCACGGTGTGGGCAGCCGGGAAGTAACAATCGCCCTCACAATCCGAAATGCACACGAAACCTCTCTAATCCTCACTCATCTTTGTCTTCATCTTCATCTCTATCATCTTGCCTTCCTTCCATTGATGCAACTCCTCTACTTGATGACTCCTCACTCCCTCTTCACTCTGTGTCCACTAAAAACGACGGAGGTCAAAAAGCCACCACCGATAGTCTCCTAAAGCCGTGCCACTAATTTCATATAGGAGCATTTAATGCTAGGACACTTTGCCAAACAGGACAACAAGCATCACTAGCCAAGACTCTGGCATCCCGAGCCATTGATGTATGCTGTGTTTCAGAAACACGCATACAAGACCCAAGTGTGTCTGTCACCAATCTGAAACTAGGCAAAGCAGCGGGACCTGATGGAATGACTCCAGAGGTATTTAAGTACGGTGGAGACAGCTTACTGTTCAGATTAAGTGAGGTACTAGGCAGCGTCTGGGAATCAGAAGAAGTCCCATCGGGTTGGTGTAAGTCACTGATTATCCCCATATACAAGAAGGGAGACAAGTCTTCCTGTGATAATCACAGAGGGATTAGCTTGACTAATATAGTATCTAAAGTCTTGGGCTCAATAATCATGCGTAGACTGAGAGGTGCTCGGGAAGCACAAACACGAGAGAGCCAGGCAGGCTTTAGACCAGGAAGAGGGTGTATTGATCATATCTTCACCCTCCGACAGATTCTAGAACATAGGCATTCCTACCGGCGTCCAACAGTCATTATATTTCTTGACCTAAAGGCAGCATTCGACTCTGTCGATCGGCAAGTTCTCTGGAGATGCTTGGCTGTAAAGGGAATTCCAAGAAAATATATTGCACTGATTAAGGCACTCTACTCGTACTCATACAGCCAGGTGAGGGCTTACGGTGAGCTGTCATCTGAACTGATGACGACCAGTGGTGTCCGTCAAGGATGTCCATTATCTCCTTTTCTATTCAACTTCATCATAGATGTGTTAATGGACTTAACCCTAGGTGACTTCAGTGACTCAGGGATTGACTTGCTACCGGGGAATAATCTCGTTGACTTAGAATATGCAGACGATATAGTCCTTCTAGGCGAAGACGCTGACAAAATGCAGAGTCTTCTAAACACCTTGAGCCGCAATCTACGAATGTTTGGCATGCGATTCGCTCCTACCAAATGCAAGATGATGTTACAGGACTGGACTACATCGATGCCTAGTTTAAAAATAGGAAGTGAATTGGTAGAGCACGTTGACCGCTTCACTTATTTAGGAAGTACCATCAGCCCCAACGGGCTGATCTCTGACGAAATCTCAGCACGAATACAGGGGGCTCGTTTCGCATTTGCCAGTTTACGCCGACTCTGGCGTAGACGAGATGTTCGACTATCGACCAAAGGGCGGGTGTACTGCTCATCAGTCCGCTCCGTCCTCCTTTATGGTTGTGAGACCTGGTCCTTGAGAGTGGAAGACATGAAAAGACTAGCTGTCTTTGATCATAGGTGCCTGAGTTCTACTTCCCGTGTAAAGTGGCATAATAAGGTGAGCAACATGGAGGTTAGGCGTCGAGTTCTAGGTAAACAGGGGAAATCAATCGACGAAATCGTGAAGCTACAAAGACTGAGATGGTTAGGACATGTGTTACGTATGCCAAGCCATCGCCGAGCAATGTTAGCGGATATAGGGTCAGGCTGGAAAAAAGCTAGCGGCGGTCAAACAAAAACTTGGCATCAGTCAATGAAATCCACAACAGTTGGTCTAAGCCACGTAGAAAGGTGTAGACTTCCAGGCTGGGGTCCTCGGGACGGTAAAAACCTATGGTTGGAAACAATTGGAGACATGGCTCAAAATCGTTCTCAGTGGCGCAGATGCATCCACTCCCTGTGACTTATGATCTTCAATGAAACTGTTTTATATTTCTTTATTACTCCTTTGTCTCACACCTCTGCTCACTGTTTCTATTATGCTTTTCTTGTACTTTCTTCTCTTGCTTTGCGTGCTACACGGAATGTGGCGACTTGAACTTCCGCACATTTGTGCAAAGTTCTATGTCGAAAACAGACAGACAGACAGTGTGGTTATTCACCTAATCCCACCTGGCCAATGGGATGAATCTGTAAAATTCACCTTGAGGGTGTCAGGAGATGCCACAGCTAGTTCACGAGGATTAGCTGGTGTAGGGATAGCTTTGAGTTCTAGGGCAGAAAAGACATTACTTGACTGGATCCCGGTAGATAGCCGAATGTGTGCTGTCCGTCTGAACGGATCAGTAAAAAGGAGAAAGGACTGCACTACTCGCCGATGCCTTTTCGTAATCTCCGCCTACGCCCCCACTGACTGCAGTTCGGATGAAACGAAGGATGAGTTCTACCAAAAGCTGTCTAGTTTGGTGAGAAAGGCTAAACGCTCAGATATAGTCGTTCTAGCTGGTGACTTCAACGCTCAAGTAGGGAAATTGTGTCAATCTGAGAAGGATGTCGGTGGCACCTATGGAGTTCCGTACCAGCGAACCGACAACGGTGACCGTCTCCTACAGTTCTGTTCAGATAATCATTTGTTTCTTGTAAGCACTAACTTTAAACACAAGGAGAGACACTGTTTAACCTGGCGACCCCCATCATCAAACCAACGCTGGACACAAATAGACCACATAGCAATAAGCTATCGTTGGCGTGGGTCGGTAGGAGATTGTCGCTCCTTCTGGAACACGTGTGTAGATACCGATCATGCACTGGTCCGGCTCGTGTGTGCTTACGACTGAACGGACGTAGGAAACAGCTGGCGGTAAAACCATCACGTCCCCAGCTCGATCAGGAAACTATTTGAGGAAGAACTAGCTAAACATATCTGAGTTCGACAGCTGTGCTCACCCTGAAGAAGCCTGGAAGAATATTCAGTCAGCCATAGATACAGCTGTAAAAGCTGTGAATAAGGTAAATCCAAAGGTGAGTAAAAACCACTGGATTTCGACTGCCTCATCCGAACTGATAGATGCTAGAAGACTTATTCCGGCGAGCTCCGAATTCAATGAGGAGCGAAAGCTGCACAAAAGGAAACTTACTAAAAGTCTCCGCAAGGACCGTGAACAGTGGTGGGTGACAAAGGCAAAAGAGATGGAAAAAGCATCGGCGATAGGCAACACTAGGCAACTCTTTAGACTCATCAGAAACGGGTGGGAGAAGGCAAATCATAAGTGAGACTATTTCTGAGAAAAATGGCTCCTTAATTAGCTCTCAGGATAGACGCCTTGAACGCTGGAAAGAACACTTGCCTACAGCCACACTGAACCTCCCGGACATCCACACACACCCGAATGGGATATAGACACTGGTCCGCCGTCTGTAATGAGGTCACAAAAGCTATCAGTAATTTGAAACGAGGCAAAGCGGCAGGACCCGACGGAATTATTCCGGAGGTGTTTAAATATGGGGGTGACATACTAGTTTGTAGATTAACTGAGGTACTAGGCAAAGTCTGGGAATCAGAGACAGTGCCATCAGACTGGGGTAAGTCACTTATTATACCGATATTCAAGAAGGGAAACAAGTCCTCGTGTGATAATCATAGGGGGATCAGCCTAACGAACATAGTCTCTAAAATCCTAGGCTCAGTAATCATGCATAGACTAAGCAGAACTCGGGAGGAACAGACAAGGGAAAATCAAGCAGGCTTTAGACCAGGTAGAGGGTGCATAGATCATATCTTCACTCTTCGACAGATTCTAGAACATAGACACACTTTTCGGCGTCCAACAATTGTCATATTTCTTGACTTGAAGGCGGCCTTCGACTCCGTGGATCGAAAGGTACTATGGCAATGTCTGACTGTGAAGGGAGTGCCAAGAAAGTACATTGCACTAATCAAGGCACTCTATTCAAACTCACGTAGTCGTGTAAGGGCTTATGGGGAATTGTCATCTGAATTGTAACAACCAGTGGTGTCCCTTTTCCCCATTTCTGTTTAACTTCATCATAGATATGCTAATGGAAGTATCCTTAACTGAACGTAACGACTTAGGAATCGACTTGTTACCAGGGAATAGTCTTATGGACTTAGAATATGCAGATGACATAGTCCTGTTAGGGGAGGATGCTGACAAAATGCAGAGTCTTCTGAACACCTTGAGCAGCAATCTTCGTATGTTTGGCATGCGATTCGCCCCTGCAAAATGTAAGATGCTGCTACAGGACTGGACCACGTCAACCCCTAACTTAGTGATAGGGAGTGAAGTGATAGAACATGTTGACCACTTCACCTACTTGGGAAGTTGTATTAGCACCAACGGACTGATTGGCGATGAAATCTCAGCACGGATCCGAAAAGCTCGAGCTGCTTTCGCTGACTTACACCATCTCTGGCGTAGGCGTGACATCCGGTTATCAACCAAGGGACGTGTGTACTGCTCATCAGTTCGCTCCGTCCTTCTCTATGGCTCTGAAACATGGCCAATACGCGTTGAAGACATGAAAAGGTTGACTGCTTTCGATCATAGATGTCTGCGATCTCTGTCTCACGTTAGGTGGTTTAATAAGGTAAGTAATGTTGACGTTAGGCGTAGAGTGTTGGGCAAAGAGGGAAAATCAATCGACGAGGCTATAAAGTTACATAGACTGAGATGGCTAGGTCACGTGCTGCGCATGCCTAACCATCGCCTCCCCCGACGGGCATTACTAGCTGATATAGGTGCAGGTTGGAAAAGAGCCAGTGGTGGCCAAACAAAAACATGGCCTCATCAATCCATGAAATCCTTGACAGTTAAACTGAGTCAGGTAGGGAGATGCAGACTTCCGGGTTGGGGCCCTCGGGACTCTAGGAATCAATGGCTGGAGACAATAGGTGACATGGCTCAAAATCGTTGTCAATGGCGCAGATGTATTCAGTCTCTGTAATCTTTCATATTCCTTTCTACCATTACCCATTCTGTTTCACTCTTATACTTGTCAAACTCTATTGATTCCCTTCACTCATCTTCTTGTCTACCTTTGTGTGCTATTTGGAACGTGGCAACTGGAACTGCTGCACTTCGGTGCCAAGTTTTATGTTGAATCCAGACAGACAAATACAATGAACTATCTGTAGTATAGTCCAACTCATTATATTGGAAACTAGCGTTTCCTGAGCTGGCTACTGACTGAAAAAAAGCTGCCTACATTACTCAAATGGGAGATTGAAACGATATCCCATTTTAGTTGCATCAGCTGGTCGACCTAATACAAGACGATCTTAACACACTGAGTGATGACAGACAAAAAACAAAAACTAATAGCAAATTTTTCGATAACCGATAATTTGCTATTCAGTAACCCAACCCTCCAAATATGCGAAGAGTTATGAAGAACTCACATTGGGAACGATTTGATAACAAATTTCAAAACAATATTTCTTTATCTCATGGAAAAGTCAGCAAGCGTCCACTTTATTTCAATTATTTATTGCAATTATCTTATAACTTAGTACATATATGAAAAGAAAATAGAAGTGATAAAAGTCCCAATAATAATACGAACAAGAATTCACTGGTCGGGATATTCTTATCACAAAATTGGTATAGGCTGAAAAATCTACTTTAGAGTAGAGCACACAAATCAATCTTGTGTATATGTGTAAATAGTACTGAAAGACTTGATGGTTAATTAATATACATTATGTACATGCAGTTTTATATGACCTATTAGAAATTAGGCTTAGGTCTCAAAATTAGCTTCCCAGAATTATCACAAGCCATATTATATTCTGCTAGGACAATCCGACTACGATGCGCTATGATACTTGGCAAGATGACCTTTTTATGTGCACCCATCAAGAATATAATCATCAGGAACAAGAGACTGAGTACAAATTCTGGATGTTTTTTCATGGACCCAAGAAAACCAACTTGATAGGTAACGGGATCGATAATCCAACAGTACGACGAACATAAAAACATTATGACACCAACAAATAAAACAATGCGCCATTTAAATGCTTTAGGACCTAAACCATTGATAATTTCTCGAAGTCGACGCTCAAACGCCTTGAGATCTTCAGTTGGTTCATTAGGATTATAGTTGATATTCTGCTAAAACAAAGAACGGTATACACAAATAAACAAATAATCACATGTCCTGAAATGTAATAAATATTCTTATTTTATTAACAGCATGAACTTACTAGAAAACGAACGTGAAGAAACATCGTACATCATCCTAAACGTTATAGAAATATCGATACTTCAATACCAAGGCAATACACAACAAAAGCGATAAATAACACGAAATCCTATCTAGGTATTCACGAAGCTACTGTAGACAGAGGACATGAAAGTGGAGCTTTTTGCTGTTCTTGTTTAATTGCTTGCATTTAGACGTATTGATACGTGATAAATAGAAGTGCTGATTAAATCAGTTGAGATTAGAATACTTGCACCGCCTGATGTATCCGGACTCAACCTATCTTAAAACATCATAGTAACTAGAACACAAAAACAGCCTCATATCTGATATACGAAAATAATTGGCGAAAAGCATACTTTCGAAAATAATTGCTTCAACAACGCACACATACACACGAATACTGATAAGCTATTTTTAAAGACTATGAAACTACATGAGATCTAATGGTGAGACTTAAAGTACAGTATGAGATGACTTACTGAGTTTCGAAGTAAAAATTTGTGCAAAAGTGGTGCAGGTCTTTTTCTCAAACACACGCACACAATAAACCACAAAGTTAGAGAAAAACAAAGAACATAAAAAGATATAATGTACAGAAATATACAGGAGAAAAACCAGTTACACGGAGAAAGGTGAGGAGTTAATATATGCATTTACACAACTAAGAACGATTATCAGCCATATCATCAATAGCCATAAGTCACTGGCTTTCGGTGTTTTGGAGATCCTAACCAGATAATCTACACATTTCTGCTTGGCTCAAACCAGCCAAAGACTTTATGAAACAATGCCATGTTTTGATTTGACCACCCTTACTCCTTTCCAAACCAACCTTACATCAGCTAAGATTACTCGACGAGGAAGGCGATCTCTAGACATGTCATACGTGTAACAGCCATCCCCACAGATGTAGCTTCACAACTTTGTTGCTTAACTTGTTTTCTTTACCTAACACTATGCCTAGGTAAAGAGAGCAAACGAAAATGTGGCATCAGTCAGTGAAATCCTTAACAGTTAGTTTAAGCCACGTAGAAAGGTGTAGACTTCCTACTTGGAGTCGTCGGGATGGTAAGAACCAATGGAGGCTGGAGACAATTGCTGATATGCCTCAAAATCGTTCTCAATGGCGCAGATGCATCCACTCTTTGTGATCTATAATATCCAATTAAACTTAATTGTCCTTCCATATTACTATTCCTTTTGCCTTAGATTTTTCTTTATTATCTCTCTTCTCTTGCTGTGTGCTACATCGAGTGTGGCAACTCGAACTGCTGCACATCGGTGCAAAGTTCCACGCAGAAAGCAGTCATTCAGTTAACATTATGCCTAACCTTAATATTGCTCACCATTTGTGCTACTTAACACGGGAGATAGAACACAAACATGTACTCTAGAACAGCCAGCCTTCTCAGGTTCTCACTACCATGGCCATGTCTCGCAACCATAGAGAAAGACAGAGCGAACTACTGGGCAGTACTTATGTCTTTTGATCAACCCTCGGATATCACATCTACACCGCAGATGACATAAGTTGACATACGTCACATTAGCCTTTCATGTGTGGCGAAATTTCGTCAGCGATCAGTCCATTAGGGTTAACGCAACTTCTCAAATAAGTGAATTGATTAGCACATTCAACTTCCTATGTTTAAACTAGTTTAGACTACTACTATTATTTCCTTTAATTCCTAGTGGAACATAGGGTTTCAGCTGCGCGTCTCCATTGCGTCCGGTTCTCTGCCAACGTTTTCACCCTGCTCCAAGTCTGCCCACACGCTTTCTTCTCCTCTTCACATGATCTCCTCCAAGTCACCCTTGCACTGACGACCAACTCGCCGCTTCCCTTTCGGGTTCCACTCGAACAATGGCTTGTCTAGTGATGTCACTTGATGGCTTGTTTCCTCAGAGTATGGTCGATCCATCTCCATTTCTTCCTGCCTATTTGTTTCACAATCGGTTCCTGATTCGTTCGCTCCCATTGATCACTGTTGCTGATCTTTTCTGGCCATCTGATCTTGAGTATTGAGCGAAGACAACTGTTAATGAAGGTCGGAAGTTTGTTTGAGATGCTCTTTATGACGCGCCAGCCAAGTCTCTGATCAGTATAGTAGCACTGACTTCACATTGGAGTTGAAAATCCGGATGTTCTTTTTGATTCTGAGTGCTGCTGACCTTCACACAGACTTGAGATTAATGAAAGCTTGTCTTGCTTTTCCGATTCTGGCTTTGATATTCTCGTCAGTTCCGTCTGTAGTTGAAACGATGCTTCCCAGGTAGGTAAAGGAGGTTGTTTCTTCCAGGTTCCTCCCATTTATGCTGATTGTTGTCTCTTGTTATTGCTGTTGGCCAGAAATCTTCATCACCTGTTTTCTCTGTGTTCACCTGAAGTCTTATCTTCTCTGGAAGCTTCTTCTGCCAGCTTGTTGCTTTTCACTTGAATATCTTCCAGTTTGTAGGAAATCAGACATATATCACCGGTGAAGTCCAGACCCAAGTTTTTTGTGTGAGTCCATTTAATGCCTGTCTCTTCATTGCCCGCTGTTTGTGGCATTATCCAATCTACTGCAATCAAGAAAAACATTGGCGAGAGTAGACACCCAGTCAGCTTGTCTTACTCCCGTCTTCACTTCGAAGGATTCCGTAAGTTTCCCGTTGTGGATTACTTGGCATGCAGCATTGTCGTACAACTGTTGGATGAGATGTATAATTGTCGGTGGCACCCCGTAGTAGCGAAGTAGTTGCCAAATCACCTTTCGATCGACGCTGTCGAAGGCCTTTACAAAGTCGATGAAGTTGAGATAGAGAGGTGACTGCCATTCCAAGCTTTGTTCAATGATGATCCGTAGTGTGGCGATTTGATCAATATATGACTTGTTTCTCCTGAATCCAGCCTGTTCTGGTCGAAGTTTTTCATCCAGGGTTTGTTTGATTCACTCCAGGATGATGCGGCTTAGTATTTTGCTTGGGATGGACAGGAGCATAATTCCACGCCAGTTTTTGCATTGACTTAAGTCTTCTTTCTTTGGTAGTTTGAATAAGTATCCTTTCTTCCAATCCTCGGGTACTTTGCCCTCTTCCCACATCTTTTCTAGTAATGGTGTCATCAAGTCCACTGTTGTCTCTGGGTCCATTTTCAATGCTTCTGCTGATATTCCATCTGGTCCTGCTGCTTTTCCAGCTTTTAGCATCTTGATTGCCTTCAGGACTTCTGATTTCGTCGGGGGGCAGTTTAGACTAGATAAAGGCAAACGATTCGGAGATGCGCTGAATCCTTATCAGTCGAGGTGAGGGGTTTGTACTTTACTCATATATTTCCAATATCTTTTCGTATGACCAATATTAACTGATATGGTTAGAAGCGATCAGAAGAAATATTACGGTATCAGTCCATGAAGTGTGACTGATGTAGACGGGCATAGGTTACCTAGCTGCGGCCCTTGGTATATCACGTAGCAAAAGTTGGAAATGCATGGCAGAAACCCAAAATCCCTTATAGCGAGTTATAGAGAAACTTGATTTAAAAGATATAGCAGTTAGAGGGACAGGTCAGTTTACGTATGTAGAAGGCGGTCGCGGCAGTAGGAAATTGAGCAATAATTCAACTAGCCTACTCTTTAGCCACCAACTCAACCGGACAGTGACGGGGAATCTCCTCTTTCAAAGGACTTGAAAAGTGAGTTTGGGCAATAGGGTGGGCAGTGATGTCTGCAATGCTAGTCGCAGAGACGCGTAAAACCTATGAACCAGAATTATAAACTAAGCCTACTGAGATTTTGCCTGAGGTAAGAAAATCAGACGTCATCTACTAACTAGTCACAGCCTTTTGGAAATCCTTTTGTAATGACCTATATAGTTTTCCGTCATCAAGGTGGTTCTAAAGGCGATAGTTCCATAATTATGTGACGCCGAACCGCAACTACGGAACAACGAACCTGGGGAAACCAGGCTGATTTTGGACGTAGCCGTTCTTGGAACAAGAAACAGGATTACAGGTACTTGAAAAACAATGAATTTGTCGACTATACTGATCGACTTTGTTCAATAAAAGTGATATCCATTAGGTTGAAGGTTCTATACTGGAGCTTCAGTAGTTGCGTCAGAGCCAATGGTTATCTCATCACGTCTACATCAAACGGTCTCTATTTCAAACCAAATTTAAAACAGATTTACACGTGGATATATACCCGTGCATCTGAATTCCACACAAAAGATACCCTAGATGACTTGGAGTATGTAGATATGGTCCTGTGAACAGCAAGTAACAAACTGACACCTTAGAGTTGGTCTGCATCGACACCCCATCTGTTAATATAATATAAACTGACTAAGAATGTCGATCATCTTGCTTGTGATTACCGAAATCCCAACAATCATACAAAATATTCTCGACTTCCAACAAATCTTGCTGTTTACGACTTAACCAAGCTGCTGAATTCTCTACCAATGTTTGAACGTACTGAGCAATAATATACTGTCCTACTATATCTGCGAAACGTGGTCGTTAAAAATAGACCTAACTACCTGACATCAGAACATTGTTTGCGTTTAGCGAAACTAATATCTGAGCACCATAAACGCTAATTGTGGTGCCCTAGGAGTGATAGGTAAGTTATTTAGTAAATTTAAGTCTTCATAACTCAGGAAACCGAAACAGTCTAGATGTGTTAACACACAACTTATCATAATATTTTGGCAGAAGCTGAATTCATTCAGGAGAAAGCGGTGGCCAGGACAACATATGGCACCAGCAGATGAGACCACTAACTGGAGGTTTGGTATATGCAAGTAACTTTAGATTGTCTGAGTGTGACCCCCTGACCAAGTGTCCACGGTTACGCTCTAAGTGGAATAGCTCTTGACAAACCTCAGTAAAGCATAACGAGTCATATGCTTCCTTTACCTTAATTGTTATACCTTGATTTCGCTAATTCCTAAAAATGTAGGAGTTTGGGCCAATAAAAGATATATATTTGAAGGTATGAGGCTAAACGTATCACTGCAAAATCACTAAAGGAGAGATCCAAAGGTATTAAACAGCTTTTGTGCTTAAAATACCCATTAATGACCAAATATCTAATCTAACTATGAAAAAAAACCTACTGCTACTTTAGTCTGGTAAAATTCCACGATTGAATATTCTACTCAAGTACCTTAGTTAACCTACACTTCCAATAGTTTCTTAAATCATCAGAAATCTATTACTTGGACTATTTGTTATCTTCACTAACTTTTTACAGTTGTCTACATTTTCTGTTTACAATTTCTTAGACTTAGCTCAGCAAATATCAATAGGATGCGCATATAAAATAGTCTTTGGAAAGCCAGTGTAAAGTTACAATCCATATCAAGCCACAAGGAAGTTAACGAAACGCAAGAAAACACTAGTAATAAAAAAACAACATAACCAATCAAAATATAGAATACCTTACGCATCTGATTGTGACAACTATCATTAAGAACTGAATTAATTGAAAAGTAACTGCTCCTCTTACATTTAGTCATTTTCATGATGAGAATTTACAGACTAAACTGCACAGTAATTCTTATTAACCGAAATCTAAACGTTGCAGGCTATAAATGTTATTTTCGAAGTGAACAAGACAGCTGTGATTCTTACTCATGTCCTATTGAAACTAACATAGTGCCCGAACTAATTAGCCACAGCTTTGCAATTTCTATAGGATACTTTCGAGCAAACTTCACTGTATTCGAATAATTTTTATGGAAAGTAATCATACTCGGTGGCACATCAATGTCTTTACTATGAAACAGTCGTAGAAAACAGAATGAGAGACAGGGCGCCAGACGTTCCATATTTTGTATTCCTTATCGCTTGAATGTGAGGGAAACACCAAAGGCGAATAGCTCCAAGTATGAATAAACGAGTCATTTGTGAGGTCCTATCTGCCCCAATGCATGGATTGAATTACGTTGAGAAAATAACTCAGTGACTACAAAATCAGTGTCTATTACACCAGTTATATAGGCTCATTAGAACTCAATGACAAGGATCATGTATTGGATTGTGACACAGACAGACATTTCTGTCGATGTATCGTATTCTTCAGATGGCAAGGGGGATTTACACTCTTGAGACATCAACTTTATGGCCAAAAAAGACTGGTCAGAAACTACTTTCGCAAACCATCTTAGAAACCCCAGTTTATCAGTCACGGGACTGTAAATTTTAGGAAGACGGAGATTTCTTCGGGGTATCGAATGAAAATTCCTGTAGGAATTCCTGAGTCAGAGCAAAGCTGTTCACTGACCTTATGTCTGGTTATCGTCTGGGATATCAATCCAAGCTTACAATCCTAAACTTATTCTAACCTGTTCTTCGATAATGCCTTTTTATGGTAAATGAAGACTATATCTACCCACCATGTTATGAAATAGTTCTGGTTGTGCTTAAAAGGAGAGCTGGGTGCTGAATTAAGTCTTTCCGTTTTGAAGTAGGCTGGTCCGTGCTTAATATGTCCTCTGAAGGCTGGAACAACGCTGATAAGCAAACCCAGAACCCAAAGGTTCTGACCTATTCCCGAAAACGCCTGGAAAGAGAACACGGTGCTGAATTAGTGCCAGTCATGCTGAAAAACAGCACAGAGTTCTAGTGTGTGCCATTAAAGAACACATTTCAGAATTTGCTCACTACAGAATTACTTCAGAACTAGTGAGATTTAATTCAGCATTATAGCACGCCGGGCAGTTTGGTTCTAAGGTGCATGGTTATCCAATATCCAATATCGTTTTTACGAGCTAGTATAGGTTAGGTGCATAAATGCGCTCCATAGTCTACCTGATATAACGTCGCATAAACTAGCTTACAAGCGATAATACTAAGTTGTCAATGGGACTTATTTCGGGATGATACATAAAAGTTTGTACCCTTTGAGACATGTTTTGAACGGTTATACCTACTTATAACTTCACGTATATATTTCGAGACCAGGAACTATTGTACTTATGAATTTTCGACAAATACGGTTTTCCTGAAGTGAGAAGTAGTGCCGCATTTCTGAGGTAACCAAAAAGCATCAGAAAACCCCCAAAACAGATGATGAAACTAACCCCTGCCCACATCTGTTTAGATGTGCGCTGGCGCACTGTCCTTGAGATACTTCAAGAATTAAGGTTCCAATATGCGATATCGATTCTGCGAGCTAGTGTAAACCCACTTGATTTCTTTGTACTCGCTTCTTAGTTTTGAGGTAAAGTTTCCCAGTTTTCGGTACACTTCTGCTTAGTTCGTCCCGCCAATCGACTATCGTAGTTTGGGTTGACTCCAAAAGGAGCGTTGGAGTGTTTGTTTGTAGTATTCTGTTTGTGAAGACGGTGTTGCTACTGTAAGTGGAGTTGATCCTTTCACCGGTTATTCATCTTGTGTCGTCAATAAAAGACGAAATAATAATAACAGGTATAGTTAGTGTAGGTTATGCAGACTAAAAGACAGAAAAAGAAATAAAGAAAACGTAAAAACAGACAGCTGATGAAATATGAAGTTGACATATATATGCATAATATTAACAATAATAACAGTAGTTTAAGGGACGTTATAGTTGAAGTAGTCAGGAGGGTAAGACTGGAGAGAATGTAAAGGAGTAAAACTATGAGTTCAGATGTCTACCCACTAATGGTGTATAGGATTTCGAGATGACTGGCCGTTTCGATGCAGTCCTTGTGTTGCTGCATGATTGTCCGGCCTTCGCCTAAAGCTGTTCACGGAAAGTACCTTAGCTACATCTGCCAGTAAGGAATTTCAGGGACGAAAACCTCGCAGTGAAAAGAAGCGGGGGCGCACTCGAGTCTTCGCTCTACGGTGAGCTATCCTACGGGGATTTCCACGATGCAGCATATACCCACTCAACGGCAGAACACCTTTGTTCGGGTGATTCTGATCATTTGTTATCTGGCAGGGAGTAATCAGTTCCCCCTATAAGCTGACGGTAGTTAACTTTAAAGAGCTCTAATTTCTTTAGACGTACATCATGTGGTTTATTTCGGAGACCCATCGCCCCTTTTGTCATCCGCCTTCGGACTCTTTCCAAAAAGTTCGCGTCTATTCTAGGCACTGGGGGAGCAGTTATATGTTACACTTCAAGGTGTGGTCTGAATTATGTTTTGTACGGTCTTAGAAAGAACTGAATTGGGAATGCACCTGTCTATGTGTGTGTGACCGCATATTCCCTCTCTACATCCCAGTGTAATTCATGCTTGTGTCCGTTTTTTCCGTTAGAACTAGAAGTAAGTCACTCTCCGACGTTGTGTAGCATAAGTTTTCGTTGCACAGGGTGTAACTCGTATTATGCAGCCTTCAGGTGAGTGATTTCTCTACTTTGCACCTTTTCAGTTTGAAATTTATACCACTGACCACCTTCCAGTCCTCCAGAAGTTTTACGTCTGCCTGTCGCCTATCTGACTCTTCCAAGCACCTTATTGCCCTCCAAATCTTTACTTTGCCACCATAATGAAGAGTTAGGCAGCTTAGACGGCGTGGTGGGTTATCGATATAGATCAAAAATATCAGTGGACTTAGGATAGAGTCCTTCAGTGATCCTGATGACGAACCGTTCCAGGGTGATCTGAATCAACTGACCCGAGTACAGAATTTCCTTTGACCTCGGCAGTCTTTCATCCATGACAGAATAAACAAACAAATAATTTTATTCTCATAGTACAGTACATGGAGGACGCCAGTTTACAGGCGTCATCAAATTGTTACAGAAATAGAACCATATAATTCGATCACAGTTTACAGGCGGTAGCAAGATATGCTTTACATGTTCGCTGGAGATTATACATACACTTGTTAAGTGTTAATCCCAGTAGTATAAAACAGTCTTTTCACTTATATACAATCATTTCTGTGGACAGTTGGAAAAATCCGCTTGATTGTCAGTGAGTGCAACACATCAAGAGATACAGAAGTATTGTCTTCGCATAAACAAAAAACAGGTCTTTGGTGGATGGATTATAAGTGCCTGGGAAAAAAATAAAGCTTGAAGTCAATTTTCATACATAACTTTGTTAAGTGCAGAATCCTTGAATTATAGTTCATCGATGTGTTATTTTGAAATCAGTGATATGTTTATCTCATTTGATCTGCAATGTCAGTTTGGAGTAAATACATAAGCTTTAGATGCATTAGTTAATGGATTTCTACTGCTCGTGGGTATTTTCTTAGCGTGAAGAAGGTTTATGAATTTCAGCCGTTCTGACAGTTGATAATATTAAGAGAATATATAAGAAGTGGCCCATCTATACCTGCCCGACTCATCTTGTGTAGGAGGTCATGGTGAACTGCTTCAAGTGCCTTCTTAAAGTCTAGGAACACCACAGGTACAGGAACATTCATATCCCAGCATGATGCCCAATCGTCCTAAGCTGATAGTAGGTTTGCTACACAGGATCTGCCTTTCCTGAAAGCTTGTTGGGCTCCATGGAGTCTATTAGTCCTCTCGAGGATCTCCCTGATGGGATTATCAATTACACCTTCCAGCACTTTCGATTTCGCCGTAAATGGCGCTACTGGTCAATAACTGGTGGGATTTTGCCTGTCTCCACCCTTGAGAATTGGGTAGAGGGTGACTCTTTCCCACTCTCCTGACAGTTTATCCGAATCCATCGAGTGTTAAAACAAGTCAGATAAGGGCCTACAGAGAGCTTCGGCGAACTGTATCAGAACAGATGGCCTGATGTCGTCACTTTCCGGACGTGAGTCTCCGTGGCTTTCCTGGTGTTATTGTCTGGTTTATTTGAGCGTAGCCCCTAGGTTTTCCTCTGGTGAAGTAGTAGTGCAGCCATTTTGGTCCATACCAGTAATATCCACATCAATGTTTACCTATTTGGCAATGGCTAAACTGAATGTTACAGCCATCTTCAGACTAGTGAAGTATTGACCATTCGGACCTACTAAGGCGCATGCCCCTGGTTGATTGGTATTACCTCCGACATAGATTGCTACAAGCTTTCGGGTTCGTCAGGAGTTTTCGGCAAGGTAAGCCCGAAATGACCTGATGTCACTCCTGACGCTTGTGAGGTTCCTGAGTCTCAGATGTGCATCGTGGTTGGTCTGACTCTTGGATATTCGCCGCGTGGACCAAGCCCTCTTCTTTACTTGCAGAATACGTCGCTTGCCTCTCTCCGGAGATATGAACTTTTACTTAGGCTGTGCTGTGGCTTGAAGGAGGGTATCTGTGATTCCTGGATGAATTATCTCTTTTACCACTACCTAGTGTTCGTCCACAGATAACTCATCTCATTCTACGAGCCATTCTGCTTCTGACAAAAGCTGTCACGTTTCGGCACAGTCAGTATTGCAACAGCACTAACGTGGTCGTTTAGTTTCCCACTCTAAGCGCTCACAGACGACAAGATCCAACCCTATGACCACATGGCCACTGCTTTCTAAGGGGGAGCATGATCTGGACACTTCTGACAAGTAGTTCATCACTAGCTGGAATTTTTTATTTTTGATTACAGCCTGATTTCACATTGTGTTTTTGGTACAAGTATGGAATTCTCAGCATGGATATCCGTAGCCCTAATTTTGCAGGCCGACCATGTGCGCGGGATATGGTGTCTTAGTGCATTTTTAAAGCTACTTTCAACCGCTATATTAACAGTTACCATAAATTATTCTGGTGTCATTTTCGCGGGCTAGCGCAAACCGGATTGATTTCTTCGGGACTCTTTTTGGTAATGAAAAAAGGATTCTGATATTCCCGTTCGCTTCCCCATAGTTCGTCCAGTTACTCGCGTGATGTTCCGTTGTGTATGGTCTTCGGGGAGTGGTACAGAAAGTTGACTATATTCGATTCGTGGTATGCGACATCCTTACAACTTGGCGCTGCTATGATAGGAGTTAGCAGTTCATCTCGGTCTAAATCGAGATAGTAGTAATGACACAAATAAGTACAAATATGTGAGTTCCGAGAGGAAAGCGAGCATATAAATAGATAGATATCTAAAATATAATGACTAGAAAATAAGTGCAGGAGTGAATGGTGCTGGAAGAAGAACGAGACAAGTAAAGACAGTGATGAGGTCTAGGATGGGTGTTATACGAGACGATTACATCCCAGTTAATTCTAGACGAGTGACAATTCGGAACAATTCCTATCATGCTGCATGTTCATCTGGGCTCATTCTGCCTCAATTCTAGTAACGGTGACGTATGCGAGCCTCAGTCGTTTACACTCTTTCTCCCCGGCGTGTCGGACCACAGCTAATAATTATCTCCGTGTGCATTTCATTCTCAGCAATAACCTAGCCTCCCAGGCGTATACGACCCATCTGCTGTCCTTAACATCAATCAATTCATTCACGGATGTAGAAGACAAGAAACAACTTCAGAAGTAATCACGACGAAAGTTTCAACAAAATTATGCAATAAAAACAAGATACGAAAACAACAAGTAAACACAATGAATCCAAAACACCACCAATTGATATGACACACCACACGTATATACAAACAGTACACACAAACTCGCAGATCGTGTCTCGATGGAATTCCTTTGAAGAATCGCAGGACTTACACCAGTACGCCTACAACCCTTCACAGGTTGACGATTGTAAGTTGTGGAATGTCCGGACACCAACAAGATTAACCAACAATTACGTCAATTGGAACTCAGACAATTATTTAACACAAACATATGTACAATCAACACATCAAATGTTGTGGATTCCAGCATGACAAACTACCCTTGAAGAACTGTAGGACTTACAGCAGTACGCCTACATTCCTTCTCAGGTTGATGATCCAAGTGGAAGTCGTCCGGACACAAACAGAATTACCAACAGATAGATGAAAGATGATATCAATTCAGTATATGCAATATGAACATATGTACAAAATCACACACCAAGCACATTGGGCTGCTCATTGATGCGCTACCCTTTGAAGAATTGTAGGACTTACAGCAGTACGCCTACAACCCTTCTCAGGTTGACGCCCTAGTTTGGTAAATCGTTGCAGAGTTCATTTGCTGACTTCATTCTATCAGCTATATCCTCAAATGTGAACGGTAACACGCTCATGTCATTGTATCGTAGAATATAGATGACGAACAAATATACGATGTATCTGGTCAACCAAGCGTAGAAACAGAGTAATTTACACCAAAGATAATAGCATTCAAA